TAATAAGCTTGTGCTCGATGGAGATTAAAAGGTCAAAGGGTAAAGCTTTATTAAATACACATAGTCACGCTAGGGAAGGGAGAATTACTGCAGTCTTTGTCATATTAATATAAAATGTATGACACATATTTATCATGCATAGGTCCATATATTTATGTAGATTTCTGGGGTGCTGGCCATGTTCTGTTTCTTTGTCTAGATGCTGATCATAAAGGTGTGTTGGGTTTGTGACAATTCATCGATGTGAACGTGTATGTATTTCAATAAAAAGACTTTTTAAACATATAGCTTCTTTATACTCTACACTGGCCAGACCACATCTGGACTACAATTTTTATAAATGTTTCACTTTAAGAAGAGGAGGTAGAAGTTTAAAAAGAGGGTAAGCTATTGAGCCCAAAAAGGAGCTAAAGAAGCTTGTGAACGGAGTTGTATTCGATGATAGAGAAATATTAGTTACATACATATTTGCATACCCAACTTTTTGTGGGCTATAACAACTGGTAAAGTTCAGACGTACAAATTGTGGAACTGGGGTGATTTTATATTTGTGAGAACATCACTTGAAGGGAAAAAGGCTTACCATAATTCTAACTGCAATGATAATATTATTCAAGAGCATGTTTGTTTCTTGGGGTTTCATACTTGGTTCTCCGGGGTTTCAAGAAGGGGAGGAAAAAAATCCCAAAGCAGCAAGGTCAATTTTCATATCCCAGTTTGATGTTCCTTGGGTGCGGTCCCTGGACCACCTGTGTGGGACTCCCCTGGACACCGGGGAAGATGCAGACCCCAGGCCTGCCCCCAGGCCCCTGACTCAGTTGTCAGTGGAGACTTTTCAAGCCGGTGGTGATTTCCTTTCTCTTTCCTCTCTTCCATTCACTTCCCTGTGCTGCAACTAAACTCTGATTTTTAGCCTAAACTCCTTAGAACCTCGACTCCTGCTTGAAACCTCAGGGACTCCCGCTCCAATTGTTGTCTGTTGTAGAAGCGTGGAGGGGGCATTCTCTGTTTTCAGGGTAGCGGCACCATCCGGCACAACTTCCGGCGATGACAGAAGTGTTCTACATCCACCCTGTCCACTATGGTAGCCACGAGCCAGCAGCAGCTCCTGAGCACTTGACATGGGGCTCGTGTGACTGAGGAACAAGTGTGTGCTTTCATTTTATTTAACTTTAATTTAAACAGCTTGGGCTTGGTCGTGACAGAGCTGATGGCCAGACAAGAGCAGATCTGGGGCACTTTTGGAAGTAAACTGGACTGGCTGTGATAGAGAACTGGGTGGCGATGGTTGGGAAACAGGGAAGGGCCAGTGCAGATTCAGGGAGGCCCCTGGGTTTCTGGCCAGAGCTGCGGGGTGGGAAGGTGTCAGTTATGAGACAAGGAAGAGCGGGGGGAGGAACTGACTTAGGAGCAAGGAATCACTGGCTCCGTCACAGACATCCTGAGCTATGTTCATGAACACGGCCAAGTCCTGCCGGCCTGAGACACGGTGGGCTTCTTTAGGTGATTCTGCTGATCTCTCCTCTGATGCCCACAAATCTTGTCTCCTTATTTCTAAATTATAGGAAGGCAAGCATTGGAGAGTTGGAAGTTAGTTTCCTGAACTTCACACACTTTACTCATCAGAAACGTTCCACATACAATCCTTCATTTGCTAACAAGTTTTACCTAGAGGATCTTTTAGTGTTAGTCTGCTGAAAGTTTGAGCATGTTGTTCGTAGGAGCAACTTTACAAATAGAGCTCAGGTACTCAGCGAAGTCTACAACAAATTCATAATACAATTAGTTACCACCAGGGAACAGCATTTGAGGTTATTTCTGTGAAAAAGCTTATTCTAAAGTCTAATTAAGGACTCTCTAAGCTGTGCTATCTCATATAAAAGCTACTAGCTACCTGTAGCTATCCAAATTTATTTATTTTTAAATTTTCTTAGTTTTTAAATTGAAGTACAGTCAATTAGTGTGTCAATGTCTGGTGCACAGCACAATGTCCCAGTCATGCATGTACATACATATATTCATTGTCATTTTTTTCATTATAGATTATTACAAGATATTGAACATAGTTCTCTGTGCTCTACAGAAGAAACTGTTTTTTAATCTATTTTTATATATAGTGGCTAACATTTGTAAATCTCAAACTCCTGAATTTATCCCTTTCCCCTCCTTTCCCTGGTAACTATAAGATTGTTTACTATGTCTGCAAGTCTGTTTCTATTTTGTAGATGAGTTCATAGCGTCTTTTTCTTTTTAAAAATTCCACATATGAATGCTATCTTATGGTATTTTTGTTTCTCTTTCTGGCTTTCTTCACTTAGAATGATGATCTCTAGGTCCATCCATGTTGCTACATATCTGAATTTAAACTCACTAAAACTAAATTAAAAACTCAGTTCCTCGGTCACACTAGCCCCATGTGAAGTGCTCAGGAGTCACACGTGGCTGTCAGCTACCGTATCGGATGAGGGAAAGACAGCATCGCCATCATGACAGGTCATCCTGCTGGAGTGAACTGGGACGTTCCTGTGGAGGAAAAGCCTCCATGAGTGGATGGCACTAAAGGAGAGTGTGGTGAGACTGTGTGGAAGAGCGGAGAGAAGTTAAGAAGCGAGGCTGGAGAAGCAGAGAGAGGCCATGTCCAGGGGCTACGGTAGAAAATGAGGTTTTATTTCATGGCAGGGAGACGCTGTGTGGGATTTAAGCAGAGCAGCAGGAAAACAAGTCAGGGGGCTACAAAAGGGGTCAAGAGACACCACAGCAGACCGGGGAGGTAGCGATGGAGCCGAGGCAAAGTCGAGAGATGGGGGTCGGGGTTTTGTAGGAGGGAGGGAAGAGCTGGCTTGTTCACAGACTGGGCTGGGTCCTGGGTGACGCTTCTGGACTAAACCCGATCCCCTCTCACACACCTTTCAACTTTTCTAGTGGGTAGAGGGGTCCTGAGACCGACAGCTCGTGGGCAAGTGAGTTATCTGAAGAATTTCTAATGGTAACAGCTGTAGTGTAAGAAACCCAAAATGCATGTACAGAATTACACCAACCCGCAAAACACTAAGAACGCAGCCTCCACACTCGAATCTGACCTAGGGCAGAAAAACACCTCAAACCTGGTGTTTCTGATTCTCGTCACAGAGCGAGAGGGAGAGCAGGCTCAGGGCATCACAGACCTAGCAGGAGAATCCCGATTTCCATGCCCTGAAATCAAAAGGGTAAGTGTAACTAAGAAGGTAGAAAACCGAACACAGACAAAAGGCACACAGCAGTCGTGTTTCCTCAGGATGTCTAAAGGTTTTGATATAAAAATGTAAGGAGAAAAGCAAACCTAATTCTAATTTTATGGGGTTTTGGGTTTTTTTTTTGTAGGAGGAGGTAATTAGATTTATCTTGTTTTTTTTTTTTAATGGAGGTACAGGGAATTGAATCCAGGACTTCGTGCATGCAATCTACCACTTAGCTACACCCTCTGCCCTCCCATTCTAATTTTAAAGACTTATGTTAAAAAATAAATAGATAAAAAAGCTTTAAACAGAGGACAACCTGTATGAGGGAACTCTGGTTTTTAGGTGAAAATTTTCAATTTAATAGAAGATGTGAATGAGAGAACTTTTAAACACCATGATATGAAAACGCATTCCTAATCTTCATGGTCTTCTTGAGACAAGAGCCCTCAAAGAAGGGAAGAAGATCTCAGGAGGGGCTACCTTGCTGGCCACCAAATAAAACTGCTCATAATATTTTGTTTAGACCACAGTCAGCTTGGCCCAAGTATTTTGGGACTTGGAGCACAAGATGGAATGTTTTCCCAGAATATCTTGCAATCACAGAATTTAGCATTTCAGTTTTTCTAATGATGTGATAGTCATATTACTCATACGAGGAGAAACTGGGCTATTTCAATAAAAACTGAAATGCAGTCATTTGGGGTCAGTAAACTAAGCTTCAAGAAAAAAAAATACATTCCAATTCTGGGGTTTAGACATATTGTCATATTTTAGAAAAGTCAGCTAATTTACTTGGATCATTTCCCTAATTGAAAACTGGGTGTCTCACCATGATACATCTTGACGAGTTGGTGATAAAGTGAAGAAAAGTCCCTGATAAAATTGAAAGATTTTGACTTTGAGATAATAAGCAAGAAGAGGGAAAAGTTTAAAAATCTACTCATTTCTCCTTTGTTTAATCTCTGCAATTTCCACCCACTTTGCAGACCTGCACAGTATATCTGGACACAGCCCCTTTGTGGTATCCAAAGTCCTTCGGTAGACCAGTCTGGTCAAAACAACATGAAGCTGAGAGTGCAAAGAAACATAACCAATAGATGGAAAAGGGTTAAGTATTCTCGGAGTCTTGAGAAGTACCTGGGAGTTGAATCCTCGGTGCCCTGGGACTGTGGCAGGGCAGGGCGGGCCCTGGGGTCAGAGAGGCCTGGCTGGAACCCTGGCACCTGGGCTTCAACAGCGGGAGGTGCTGGGGAAATCATTAACCCTCCCAGAACCTCAACCCCCTCACCTGGGAAATGAAAATATAGATGCTTGTCTTTCGTGAGCACAGCTTTAGTTTCAGGGGAAAACTGACCTGTGTTGTGAAACCAGTTTATAAAACGACATGTGCCTGACGGTTTATCTCACGATCCAGGGGAGATGAGACCATGAACCACATCTCAGTGGCCGTTTTGAAGCAGATGCCAGTATCCAGAAGAGCATCGTTCCAAAGGGCGGGTCTCACTGGACCAAATGGCCGCGTCCCACCAACACCAGCTGAAGACACTGGAGACGATGCTCATGCAAGACTCTGAGACAAGAATGAAGTAACAGGAAGCAGTGAACACTTTTAACTCTTTAACAAAAAAATCAGAGAAAAATGAAAAGGATTTGGAAATGGCAACAGTTCAGTGAACCCACTTGACTCACTGACATTTACTCTGAAAAAAGAAATCAGTAATTTGCTGACTGTTCTGCGACCCACAAGGAAAACTCACTCACAAAATGAAAACATACATAATCCAGTGTCGAAAACCGGTGATTTAGAGAAATCACCCCTGTTTATTTTTTTTCCAACAAAGAGGAAAAAAACCAAAAGAAAACAAACATGGTTCAATAATTCAGTGTTTGAGTCACTGGCAAATACTGTCTGCATCACTCAACGGGGGTGTTCCCGGCCGTGAGCTCCGGGCACAGGCTGATGGCCACGAGTCTTCCACGGTTCCAACACGGGAGGTGGAAGCAAGATGCCTTGTCACAATACGCATAAAAAGAAGGTCTTTGAAAAATCTCCAGATCTTTGAAGGAATGAAAACACTCTCCTTTTGTTGTCTGTCTTGTTCCTTTTAATGATCACTTTTTGGTTTCTGAAGTAGCCTTTTTCCACTGCGAGGATGGAGCTGTATGAAACCAACAGGCCGCCGGCTACCACACACGCCTCCCCTCCCGGACACAGAGCTTTTCTGTCCCAGCAAAACTCTCTGCCATGATTTTTGTTATGGTTCCGAAGAGTAAAGAAAATGATTTCAAGTATTCAATTCCTATCAAAAATTGGTATCAAAAGTAATAAAGGACCTAATTTTCTTGATAATTCCATGTTTTAAAAAATAACTTAAGAAGCAAGAGGTCCGGCCCTTTACTTGTATAAATACCACAGCGTAACTAGAGTTTCTTAAGACAACGTGGAGAGGAGTCTGTGTTTAGCACCTCGATCATGGATCTTAACGTTGGGAACGTCTCTGACACGGATGGCAGGGTCTTATAAGAAGGTGAGATACTAAAAAAGAAAAACACAAAGAAGGGGTGTGAAAGTGAACACTGCTTGACAAAAAAGGCAAAGCTTATGTTATATTAATTCCTAGTTCAGTGTTCACTTTCTGACACCCCGTAGGTGTGACATCAGACATATTACCAAGCAGGGGGATTTGGAACAGAGTGGATTCTGCTGCGACACATGAACTGGGGTAGCAGTAGGCTCCCCCGTGAGCCATTGGGAAGTTCAACCAGAGTCTTTGGGAAAGAAGATGAAACTGACTTATACAGTGAGTGTTATGCACATATGTCCCATTGGGGCGCATGCTGGACTTGGACTCGGAAGACAAGGTTTCAGGTCCAGCCTCGCTCCTTATCGGCTTTAGTGATTTGTCTAAGCCCCCTTCTGTCATCTGCAGCACCCGGGACCGTATTCCTAACCCATAGAGGTACCAGGAGCATGGAGTGGGATGCTGGGTGTCTAAGTACACGGTGGAACGGCAGCTGCTCAGCATAAGGTGGTATTGTTATTCTTTCCTTAAAGGACTGGTGAAAGAGCAACGCTGTGACATCATGTAGGAAACAGAAGCGAGGTCTTTGACCTCACGCTTGTGTTTTTAAAACACTGTGTAAACGAGTGAACGTGAAACAAGAATATCCTAGAACGATGCATACCTATTAACTTTGTAATGCAACACTTACAAGTTGAACAAGAGTGTCCTGCCGACATGAATTTCTCTGTTTTAAACAGAGCAGAAATTCTCCTGCAATTTTTAGAGCACTTGCTAGGTCAAATAGACGTGAAAGGCAAAACTGGAGGTGGTTGTAAAAACCACGGAGAAGGAGCAAGAATAAATAAGGTCAAACAGTAAGATTTGCTTATTCTTAAATAACTGTGACAGCGTCTGTGAGTTTAATTTCCTCCCCCGGTTTACACACTTTCCTGCAGCACTTCTGGGAACTGGAGCCACGAAAAGTCAGCATGGGCTGGCTGTCCCACCGTAATCGGCAGGGGTGATTCCTGGCTGGCATTTCCTGACTCACACGTATTCCTCACCTCAGTTACAATCAAGCACCCCCTTCCCTAAACCTGGAGTGCAGGAAAAATGCAGACGAAAGGCCGGGTGTTGCCACCCAGAGTCAGTCTGAATCGGGTGCGGCTCAGTTTGCAAACTCAGTCCTGAATTCTGACCCGAGAGTCTGGGATAAAGGGTGAATCAGCCAAGAGATACGAACGTCTGATTATACATATAAGACATCTGTCAACTTTCCTTCACAAACTGGTTCCTTTACTTTGTTCATTATTCATTTGCATCCATACACTTATCCATTAAAGGCTCCTACGTGATAGCAAAAACATTTTAACCTTGAAAAGTGGATTAAATTCACTGCATAATAATAACTCATAGAAATGAGTACAACTCTGTTTTCACGAAGCTCCAAAAGTAATGGAAAGCCCCTACTTTTCCCCTTCTCAGTTGTAATATTCTTGTGCTGACCCCTGTTGGGCAGTTACCTTTTCAAGTTCATCCAGCTTTTAGCTATTTTGCTGAAGGCCTCTGAACCAGGGGCGGTCATAGCTTCAAAGTCAACCAACTGAAAAAAGCAAGTTAAGGATGTGATTAAACATGGAGGAGAGGGGCTCCCTTTGGGATCTGCTTCACTCACGTATCTTGACACAAAAATCCATAGATTTGGGGATTTAAACACATGCCCCTTTCCCCTTCCCGTTCCAACATACCTTTCCTTTGGGAATTTTTCCTGCTACTTCTTTTCCACTTGCCATCAACGCTCCCACGATCACTGAGTAAGCTATTACGCTATTTAAATAAATAACAATTACCAGTCAGTCCCAGTCCACAAACAGCTACCACGTTAAAGCTCACCGAGGGTTTTCCATTGTAAAGGATACCACTTTTTTTAAGAGTTCTTTGGAGGAGAAGGGTACAGCTCAGTGGTAAAGCACACGCTTAACATGCATGAGGTCCTGGGTTTAATCCCCAGTCTCTCCTCTAAAATACACAAGTAAATAAACCTAATTACTTCCCCCTAAAACAAAAACAAAACAAAACAAAAACAGAATTCTTTGGCTATTAAACAGGACAACACTTTCATTTGTTTTAAAAATGCTTACTAACTTACTAATACAAATATTTACTGATTTAAGGGTAAAAGTGACTAAAAATAGTATTCTTCTGAGAACAGTTTCTCCTAATCAGTTTTCTTCCCACTTGGTTTCTCTATTCTTATGAGATAGTGAATTAGAAAACGCAGCTGCTTATATATTATATTTAATTAAAAAAAAACTTGGGGGGGGAGGTCATTAGGTCTATTTATTTATTTACTATTAGTTTTTTGGTTTTTTTAAATAGAGGTACCAGGGACCGGCACAGAGAACTCCCAAGGGCCGTGGGCCGACGCCAAAGCGAGTGAGTCAGTCCCAGGGTCTCGGAGGCCACGGACACGTGCGCAGCATCCTCGCGGGCCAGGGGCGGGGCCACGGAGGCCGAGAGGGCGGGGCCACGGAGGCCGGGAGGGCGGAGCCACGGAGGCCGGGAGGGCGGGGAAACGGGCGGACACGGAGGGACAGGAGGTGCGGGCAGAGGCAGGGGTGGGGTGGAGGGGGCCAGCGCGAGGGCCCTCGGGGAGCTCCACGAAGGGGCAGGGGACGGGAGAGGTGATGAGGCCGAGGTCAACCAAGGCAGGGAGGCGGGGCCGGTACTGCGCCTGGTACCCCCGCGTCTGCACCTGGGCCGACAGCTATAAAGAAGCGTGGGGCACAGACGGGAGCAGGAGAAAAGCCTGGAAACGGGGAGGCTCGTTGGAAACGTCAGGGCAAGAGATGACCAGGGTCTGAGCTACAGCAGAAGCAGGAGCACAGGAAGAGAGAAAGGCGTTCAGGAGGCAGAACCGACAGGGCCGAGGGACGGAGGGGAAGAGCGGCGTGACCGGCCCCACAGAGCTGCCCTGAGGACGCGTGGGGCACGGCGGGCGTGTGCGCAGCGCCTGCAGGGCTGGGGGGTGGGGGGCACGTGGGGGCCTGATGCGCATCGCACATCCACCAACGAGAGCTGGGCTGCAGGTGCAGTATTTATGTCCCCATTTTGTTCCTGTGTGTAAGTCTCAGGCGCACAGCGTTGTGGTTCCACATCTGTATGCACTAGAGTGACCCCCCCGAGCCCAGGACGCAGTCCACCCCCTTCACCCCCTTCGCCCACGCCCCCAACGCCTTTTCAACATTATAACAAAATTTACTACCACGTTTAGGGCAGTTTCGCTGTCGAGTGTTCATTAAAGATTAAGACATTCAAGTATATTGTTTCAGCCAATTAAGTTCAAACACGTGCCAACAATAGCCTAGGCCGTACACGTGATTTTCTGGACACAGTACCGGACAAAAGAGAATAAAAAGAAAGCTCTACAGACACCTCTTTGTTTTAATGACATCTAAAAGACTTCCGGTGGATTCGTCTGTAGCAAGAATTCATTCACAATAATAAAAATAGAACGGAATGGTTGGTGACTCGCAAGTATGAAAGGTTAGGGCTAGAGGTCAATGACTGCCAAAAACTGGGGGCGAGGGGAGGAAAGGGCAGGCCAACAGTCAAGGTTAATATCAGAAATTAAAACACAGCGACCACAGGACGCACACAGTGAGACTTCCATACGTTTTTGTTGAATGAATGAATCCCTGGCCTGTAAATTCCAAGCAAGTCATATGAGAACTGCCTTTCGTAATTCTTTTGATGATGTGGTAGATCAAGGAGATAATTTTGGGGTGGGCTTTGGAAAAAAAACAAAAAGTGGCCTCTCATCATTGCTGGGGTACCTGTTCCCACACCCAAACAGGACGTGTAAGCAAAAGGAAAGTGTTCTTCACTGCAAAAACTGTCACATTCAGGATATCACTCACCTGGATCCACGAGAGAGCGGCATTAAATTATAAAAGTAATAAACTAAGGATAAGATTAAGTTGCAAACAGCATCAGCCTCCTAGGAGAAAAAGACACGTGCTCAGGAAGTTAAATACTAGATTACATGCGTGGTTCCTGTTAGATGACAAGACACATCAGAATCACTGACATTAGGAAAAGGACTATTTCATTCTACAAGAACCTACTTTGCACACCCTTGGATATTTTATACTATTTGTCATCCTTTTTTCTAAGGAAAGGGTACGTGCTCAGCTCACTTTAGAGCAGTATTTTCCCACCTGTCTTTGAAACTGCAGCCTCTTCTGATAAACATAAACATTTGAGTCTCCTATAATGTTATTTGAAATGTCAAGATATATATTGAGATTAAAATAAAACAAAGCACTTACTAATACTGAATGTACTTTCTCCAACTACAGGCCTCTCTACCCCAAGATTCTGTTCAGCAGCTCCCCCCACTCCCCACTGCCCCCATGCACTGAGATTTAGGTGATAAATATGCTTAACTACATGGATAAACTGATTAAAATCCAGAGAAATAAAATCATTTCCCAAGGGCTGCAGGTGTCCATTCCAGAATGTGGATGGAGTGCCCTCCATGATCTCAGCACAATGGCAGCTGTAGCCACAGAGGTGATTTTGCAGATTCTGCCCCAAAGGAACCCCCTACTTGAGTCGGGGAAGCAATGGAAGGAGGTCGCAGTCCAGGAAAGGGTCACTAATTTGGCACTGGTCACCATCATGGACCAACTTGCTCATTTAAATCTTGACAAAGCCCAAATTCATGGCAATATAACATAGTAACTACAGATGTTTATCATCCCCCTTCCTGAATTCCTGTAGTTACTAAGTATGGGAATTATTTCTATAAGGGTATTAAAAAATTAAATATTTACTGGTCAATTAAAGCTGACTTCAAGCATAAAAGGTAGAGACCCAATGAAAAGGCAGAGGCTTTAAAAAGTTTACAAAAGAATCATACAAAAGCATGGAAACAAACAGAAACCTACCCCAAATTCTGATGAGAGAATCAGTACCTTCCCTTTTGCTGTTAGATCTTTATAAAGTGCATCTATTTCGGCGTGATATAATTGTGTTCGCTCTTCTGTGGTTTGCGTTTCCACAGAAAATAGTATATTGCCAACCCTAAAAATACAAGAAGGTATGTCAGAGGTATGTGTCAGACAATTCAAAGAGCCAATCACGGGGGTGGGCTGGAGAGGGACCAGCAACAGGGTGGTGAGGTGGCCCAGGACACACGGCTGGGTGTCTCCTGCCCTTTTGAGCACAGACAGTGCTTTTTCACAAAATATGATTTCGCTCAGTCTAACCATACCTATTTATTACATGAGCTTAAGCTACTAGAATAGGAAACATCTACACATGGTAGAATGCATTTAAACACCCAGGAAATATTTTATCAGACAGCCACCCTGTTCTGATTGAAGACTGAGGAGCTGTGTGCAGAAAGCAAGTTCAGGGCTTCCGCTGTTTCCTTTATTTTTTTTTTATTTCCCCAAAGCTTCTGCTCCACACAGGTCGACGGAGGATACACACCTGATACACAGGGACTTACTGTACAATGCCAGTCCCGAAACACTGAAGCTGGGCCTTCGATTCTAGAAGGAATACAGCACAACTGCTGCCTTCATTGAGGGAGGCAGGGGAGATAAGGCCGCGGATTATTATGAGACTGTGCGTAGGGGGCGTAACAGTTCATCAGAGGGTCAAAGGAGGGAGGTTAGATCTAATTTGGAAGACGTGGAGGAAAACAGGAAATGCTTTGTGGAAGAAGGGGTCTGGACCTGGGTCTTGAAGGTCAGGATGGGGGTGACAGAGGCCCAGAGCCAGAAGGTGGGAGGTGACCTCACGGACAAGCAGTCCAGCTGAATTAGCAGCCCTGGCGGCGAAGTGGTTCAGGGAAAGCAGGAAGTATTGTTGGAGGCCACATTACAAAAGGCCTTGAATGCCCGGCAGGGGAGCTGATTTTGGTCTCAACAGACAGTGGCAGGGTATGGACTGGGTAGAGATTTTTGCAGCCAGGGGAAACGTCAGGAGTCAGGGGACGGGAGACGGAGACACCAGTCTACCAGCAAGACTGACAACAGATGGGGTGAAAAAGTAGAGGAAAGATACTATGTTTTGGGAAGGGATTTATGTACTTTGTTCAGTGTTTCCATTTCTGCCTGGGAATGTAATCATGGATGGGTGAAGAGGTAGGGGAAAAAGTGTTACATCAAAAGAAAACCCTGGGATTTCTTTTGAGGGGAGAGAATAATCTTCATTGGGAAAGTATTTTGGTAAGTGGCTCAAGGTAGAGATCATAACTTCAGGGATGTGGAAAAGTCACAGAATCTGAAAGTTGCTAAGTGGGGGTTTATTCCTGAAGTTCCTGTGTAAGTTCTGACATGGAAGCCAGAGCCCAAGAGGCAGAGAGGCAGAGAGGCCGAGAGGACACGGTCCCACTGCTGGAGGGGCAGAAACGGTGGGAGAAGCCCCCCGGGTATCGTGGAGCCTCGCAGGGAAGAAGCGAGGAGAGCATGCTGGGGGAGGACCGTGAACACGGAGGGTCAGGGTCATTCCACACATGATCCAAGGTGGAAGGAGGGTCCTATGGGGAGTCTGGATTTCAGATGTAAGTAAAATTATCATTAAAGAAAACCATTCATCGCAGGGCTACCATTTATAAGGTAAAAAAATGGTAAACACCCTAAATGATCAATAACAAAAAATCTAGAAGAAACTCTATAACATCCCTAAAATGAGGTAGTAGGCAGTTTTTAAAAGTGCTTTCAGTGGGGAGGGTGTATGTAGCTCAGTGGGTAGAGTGCATGCTCAGCATGCATGATGTCCTGGGTTCAACACCTGGTACCCCCCAAAAAAAAGTTTTTAATTTTTTTAAGTGCTCTTAAGAATAAAATATGGGAAACTGTTTGTGGTAAGGGTAGAAAAGAAATAGGTTATAAAACAATACGTACAGTATAATCTATTTTTAAAGAAAATAACTTAGTGATCTTAATTTTTTAACCTTTGCTTATCTGTGTATTCTAAATGTTCAGTAAAACTGCACTCACACACTTACAACACATTAAAACCTATATTTAAAAAATCTAACAATAGCCTTCAATCTCTGCCAATCTCTTATCTTTTTATTTTCATTTAATTAGTAAAAGCCTTCGCCACAACAAACTTCAAGAACCCAGAAGAACGCCTTCCACAAACCACATCAGACATCATACTTAATATCTAGAAAGTTGTTAGATTTAGCACAGTCAGAAAATCTATCTGCTGGTGTAACATGCTAAATGCCACGTCAAAAAAAAAAAATAGCTGGTCTGAGCTACACGTTGGACCGCCATCATTTCCATTCCAGAAGATGCAAAGGCCCCATGTCCCGTGGCAACGCCAGGAGCTGGCACACTTTCTGACACCAGCCCCCGTCTGTACGCCCACACCTAAGAAGCACACGTACTTGTCTCCTGTGATAGTAATTGTGAAGCCATCATACTCCTTCCCTTGGTCTTTGAGGCTGGGAACTTTTGTGTTCACAGTGAACCCATCCTTCGTTTTAGTATTAAACTGCTTTCGGGGAAAAAAGAAAAATTCACGTTACTAGTGGAGAATTCATTGCAAACCCCCAACTGCTACTCTGCGGCGCCAGCTCTGACTTTCACGTTTACGAGAAGGGTCACTGGAGTCCCCGCTGCAAGAGACCATGTATTCTCTGTCCTGGCAATCAGCACCCAGGACGCCTCTGCCTGTCACCACGTCCCCGCCCAAATTCTCAGCCCAGGTCACATTTCCCATAGCCCCGACCAGAGGCCAGCAGAGAACCTCAGAGCAAAAGGCGAACAGCCGCCCTGCACTGGCAAGGGGTCCTGCTCACTGCTGAACACTTTCTGGGGTTTTTTTTTTTTCTCTTGTTCATCTGAATCGGCAGCAGCTTTGCTATATGGTAGAACAGTCATACTCAATATCCTGTAATTCAAAAAAGCACCCTGTGTTTATGCTAAGTGCTTCTTTAAAGCAGGCTCTTACCCTTCTGAAAAGTACTCAGAATCTTACTCGTCGATGGGACAACTTCCTACACACCCCAACTCTGCAGACCACAGAGTGACAAAGCCAAGTCTGCTAAAGGAATTCCCCAGAGCTAGGAGTGGCCCTCCGGGGTGACAACCGTGAACGCAGTCTCAGATATCAGCTTTCTGTTTAAAACGCTTTGGACCAACTGAAAAGCCAGGAAAGAGGTGTTGGCATTGCTCCAGAAAAATCCTCCCCAGGTTCAGCTATGTAGTGTGGCCAGGGTTTGTTTAGGATTGACGGACTTGAAGGAGACGATAGATGATAAAATCAGAGGCAGTTGTGCTTTACGTGAGACACAGCTCGGGGTTGGGGTGGGAGGTTGTCCCAAAACAGTGACGCCCAGCAGGTGGTGACCAAGGTCCAGAGAGAGACAGGGATGCGCGGCCCTGAGCAGGACAGCCAGCAGCGATGGCCGAGACACGAGGTGTCTTGCGTGAAGACAGGACTTTTTGAGGCAGAACGTGTTTGCCCTTAGTACCTGCCAGTTCCCTTCAATGCTCAAGACGGGCCCAGAGGACAGGGCACGATCTCGATCTTACAGGCGAGGTGAGGCCCGGCCCGAGGCGGCACACGGGAGTGGCAGAGTGGGAACAGGAACCCAGGCATCACACTCACCAAGTGCTTAACCCACTAAGGTCTATTTTCAAATACTTCTACGTGTGCCTCCAGAAATACCAGTGCAGCCACAACCTGGGTGGAGGCGCGGAGGGCGGGGTAGCGGTGGGACGGTCACTCCCAGGCAGCAGACAGACAGGGACTCTGCACTGGGAGCTGGCACTGGGTGGGTCACCCCCTGGCCTCTCAGCTGCTCGCCGAGTGCCTGCAGCCTTTTTGGCCACTACGCTTCTTTTTAGAGAAAGACACGCACGTTAATATCTCCTTAAGCTGACTTTGTAATTCAGCCTACTATAGTAAATTTAAATTAAACACCTATGGAAAGCAAGCTAAAGGCCAAGAATTGAGCCAGGCACCCGTTTTCTTCCCATAGGGTGCATCTGGTGGCCCTCGGTGAGGCCGTCCTGCCCCTGGGGGGCTTTTGGGGGATTTACGGGAGAGTGTGGTGGCTACAGTGACTGGGAGGGCTGGGGGTGACCCATGGAACTTGGCAGATGGGGGACCAACACCACTAGAGGTCCCACAGTGCCGGGGACAGTCACACGGTCACGACTTCCACATGGACGAAGAACCTGTATATGATCTAATAATCACCCAGGTCTGGGAGCAGACTCCGCTTTACACTAAACATTTGTTACAGTTTTAATACACCCTGACTTTTCCAGGAATGCAAACAGCCTATAAAGTGAGGAAAGGGTAGATCATATATCTGTACGGAACGTTGTTAAATGTGGTCTACTATTCCGGAAAACCGTGTCACCAATGACATCGTAGCTCATGATACTAGAGTCGCCAAATGACACGTGGATACAGGGCTGTGTTTGTAGCTGCCACGTTCACCAAGATTTCACACCTGTGTGCAAGCAACTGGCACATATATTTCGTTTTCCTTTTTAAATGGAGGGGCTGGGGAGCGAACCCAGGACCTTGTGCATGCTAAGCACGCGCTCTACCCCTGAGCTCTACCCTTTTGCCCCTCAACTTGGCTTCATCTTTGTGGCTTCTCACGAAGGCATGCCTGAATGTTGACAGACTGAAATACATGGTTTTCTACCATAAATGACTTACTTTTAGAACTCCTTTATGGCACTACGGTGACTTTTTAAAGAGTTTTTTGAGTAGGGGGGCTGTATTCCTTGTGAATGTCATGTTAGTGCGGTAAAGGGGGCATCTGAGCAGGTTGACTACGACAGCGGATTCGTGAAGAAGAACCACTGCCTCGGTTCATCAGACCCTCGCGATAGCCAGGCCTGGGGGAGGCGTGGCTCTCCAGCACCCGGGGCCTGGCATGGGGTGTGGGAGCCCCCCAAGCCCAGCGAGCAGAGGGGACCCCAGGAGCAGGGTCAGCTCTCGGCCTTGTTCACGACAGGATGCCTCCTGATCATTCCTTAGAAATGGGCAAGCGCTGATCATTCATGTAAATGTCTCAACTTTTATTTGATGTAAATCAATCTCATCTATTAGAGC